GTTTAAGTGATTATAAACCACAAAAGGATGAATTGGGGAGATTATTCACTCTTTCTACTTATTTTATGATTTCAACATTTCCACACAAAAAAAAAATTTATTTTACAATATAAACTATAAAATATAAATTATTAAATAAAAATAATTCATAATATCACAAAGTTTACTTTTATTCAATAATAAATATTATACAATTTAATACAATTCAAATTATATAATTTTTTTTTATTCTACAAAAAATTCTATTCAAAGAAAACTACAAAAGTTCTGTGGTTCGACTAAACAAGATCAGATGTATGTCAAATCCACCGTGATATTTATATATATGGAATCTTCTCTTCCAAGATTAATATCCAATTTAGCAAGTAGATGATCTTGATTAAAAAATGGGAAGTGTATAGAAATAAGTTTATCTTCTTTGTTCAGGTTTTACCTATCTACGCTATATATTTCTTAAGATCCATATGGAGTTGATAATTAATGTGTTTTAAAGAGAATTTTTTCATCCAAATTTATGTTGGTTTGAAGAACACAAGGGTCATTAACAAAGTTACTCGGAAACGACAAATTGGAAGAACCTGAGAAGCAAGCAAAAGGGGGTCCCCCAAATATAATTGCAGTGAGCAGCAGCAGGTAGAGTAGAGATAGTGCCAACAACACCTGAAGTTAAGTTTGGATGAAACTAAATTCTTTGGTAAAAGCACAAATTAATAATTTTCTTTTAGGTTAGGGGAAAAGTAAGAAATACCAAGTAGTGATACATATTTATTCTTTAACTATATTATACCAATTTAGAAGGAAAAAAAAGTATATATATATATATATTACACTCTTTCAACTCATTTTCCTCCAATATGGATCTTTGCACATCACTCAAACTCCACTCACATGTGATCTAACATTCCAACATTAGAAAGAGTCTGGAACATCTAGATGGGTCAATGGAGGAATCAACAGTGATAAAGCTAAGCGTTGTGAGGCATCCTTGATCAGGTGTCCGAAGTCCACACAAAGATTCGTGTGTTTTTAAGGAAAATAACTTCCAAAAATTTTATATGTAAATTGTTTTCCAGAAACTACAGTTTTCATTTTTCATTGACTAAAAATGAATTTCTGTTGACTAATTTTCCAAAAGACTTTTAAACATAAAAAAAAAATCCAAATTATCATTTCTGAAAATGAATTTTTGTGAACCAAACCAACCCTTAACATATTAAATGATAAATCACAGCTTGGATGGAAAATGTTGCTGTTAAAGGGCCCTATAGATTTTAGATACAAATTTGACCGTGCAGCAGCATGTCACATTTTCCGTTTAATTTGGGCTTCTTTTCCAACTCAAAAAGTCAAGGATTCATTTGCACTGACCATAAATTTTGAGGGATTATGTTTACGGTTTTTTTTAGTGGTATATCCCCAAGCTTTTTGAAATGACCCAATTTCCCCTAAACATAACGTCAAGTCGTTAACGGAATCTCTGTCTTGGTTCCCCGCATTCACCACATCTGGCGGAGTTGCCGGCGGCTCTGTAATAACCAGAGCCCGAAGAAAGCTGTTGCTAGGGTTTATCTTGCATAATTTCCACCGGATTCTCCGAGCCAGCCATGGCGTGCGTGTATATACCGGTGCAGAACTCGGAAGAGGAAGTGAGAGTGGCTCTGGATCAGCTCCCCAGAGACGCCTCTGATATTCTCGATATCCTTAAAGCCGAGCAAGCCCCTCTCGATCTCTGGCTCATCATCGCGGTTTGTTCCTACCCTCTTCGATTTCAATTTTGTTTATTCCGTCTGGCAATTAATCTCTTAGTTTCCTAGATCAAGTTCAACTCATGTTCCAAATTCTGTTTCAAAAGCTTGCCTTTTGCCTTAGTTCTAATTCTGATATGTTTACCTTTGTTTACTGTATGCAGAGGGAGTACTTTAAGCAGGGAAAAATTGAACAATTCCGCCAAATTCTAGAGGAAGGATCCAGTCCCGGTACTTCTGCACTTAACTTGCCAATACCCTTTTGCTTAATTTAGTTAATTTTTTTAGATACCCATGTAAAAGTAGCTAATGCACTGACCTGGTGTGGTATCACTAGCTTGTTTTCAGGATTTTTCCTACCATCTTAATTAATCTTATTAGTTACTAGCTATTATGTGCATTATCTAATTTTGGGCATTTATCCTTCTGCAGAAATTGATGAATACTATGCTGATGTTAGATATGAGAGGATTGCTATCCTAAATGCTCTGGGTGCCTATTATAGCTACCTTGGAAAAATTGAGACGAAACAAAGAGAAAAGGAGGATCATTTTATTTTAGCAACACAATACTATAATAAAGCATCAAGAATTGACATGCACGAACCTTCAACGTGGGTTGGGAAAGGTGAGCTTTTTTGGATCACTTATGATTCCCTGAGTCTAATCAGAATGTAATTTTATTTTAGCTCATACAATCAGCCACAAATTGATTACTATAACTCCATTGTTCTGTTTTTTTAACTTCTGAGAACTTTTCCTGTTTTACCTCTGGAGACCAGCTGGGACTGCTGTCTGATTCTTTTGTTATCATAGAATCTACATATCAATAGCTAAGTTTCTTTGTAAAATGCCACACTCTTGTCTCTATTAGCGTGATCATCTACCGCAATTTCTTTGTAGATGAAACTCAAAACGGATAGATGATGCTTTTTCATTGGCTTCACTGGTTAGTTGTGTTTATGTTTCCCTTTGTGTCACTCTGTCAGTTTGCTGTACTTATTTTTATTTTTATTTTTATAGTTTCTACTTTTTTGGTCATTTAATTTAGGGTTTGAGGGTATTCTATTGCAACATTTTGTTCATTGTTAACAATTCCAAAGAAGCCAACTTTTATTGCTTTCATTCTCATTTCAACATTGCTGCAGTGCTCAAAACTCTCTTTTAAAACTTGTAAAATTATGTGTTTCTTATTTTTAAGATGACTCATGTTGGCAACAATTTCACATTAGAGGCTAAGAGATGCCTACTTTTTACAGGTCAGCTTCTCCTGGCTAAAGGTGATGTTGAGCAGGCATTTGCTGCATTTAAGATTGTGTTAGAAGGAGATCGTGATAATGTCCCCGCCCTTCTTGGTCAGGTATATTGAACTATGAAACTTTCCTTGATACAACAGTGAGATTAGCAGTTGGATATTGCAGGTTACTTTTGTGGAGAATCTGGAGATTTTACCAAATACATGTGGGTTAACCTGTCTGTCACTGTAAGTTTCCAGGATGGTAGTATCTTACTGGTCTGTGGTGACTGTAGTTGGTCACTTGAGAACAATTGTTGCCAACCATAGTAATACTTTCACATATCTGACTGGCTTTCTTTCAAATTTAGTTGTTAGTTATCCAAGATATTAAGCTACAGTCTGATGCAGGGTTGTAGAATTTGCTCTAGAAAGCCTTATTTTGACAATCTTTGGAAGTAGTTAGTCTTATCAATGAGTACCATATAAACAAATTGGAAGTGGCTTGGAATTTTCTGCAAAGAACAA